CACAGGGTCCAGATACACCGGCCGCGGGCGCATACGGCCGCCACGCCCATTTGGACCGGACCCTCGCACGAATCCTGCACTACAACAAAGAACAGACAAAAAGAAAAAAAAAAATAAAAAATATAAAATATTTTTAAATATTATAAATCCATTAGGAAAACATAGTTTATGTGAAAACATAAACAATTAAAAACAAAACAAACAGCAGAGTAATACACAAGAATAAAAAACGACTCACGACACATTAAAAATCGAGGAAAAAAAAAAGAGACAGATATATGAATACATAACCATACAGGTAGATCAGAATAACAGACAAACAGATGACTAGAATCAGAACAGCAGCGCCTCTACAAAAAAAAAAACATAAAAAACAGAAAATTAAAAAAGTTCGTTGACATCTGTTACAATAATGCATCTTGTTTTTACCTAAAAAATAATAATATAACAAATTATAAATAAAATTATAATAAAAAAAAAAAATATGTGCCGAAAGACACACCAAATATCCGTTTAGAACATCACCAAAACGAAGCTTTACCGCACAATTACAAACAATACAATCACAAGAAAAACCACACACACGAAGACAAAACCACAAAAAAAACAAATCGCACGTAAATGGCGTGGCATAAGAGTGAGCGAAATAGACAGAGAGTGTCGGCTGGTTTATTAAAGAACAATGCGACAAGGATTATTTTTGTTCCATGGAAGCCCGACGCCCGCCGCGCGACAGCGCGCGGCCGCGGGCTCGGCCCGCGGCCCGACGGCCATTTGTATATATGTAAAGAACAATGATGGCCGTGTTTAAAGAATCAACTCTTCGCACCGCATCACGAAACCCGGCACAGAGAGTATGCCTACGCTCTGAGCGCCGCTAGCGATGAGATGATAAGTCGCCGTCTGAGGCGGACTAGCTGTTCAACAGGAGCTTCTTCGTCAATCCCGGGTCAACGCGGGGCTGCCTGTCCGAGCTAGCTACAAAGGTAGCTACACTACCGCTACCACCGGCAAGCCGTTCACAGACGAGAGCTTCGGGAAGGCCATGAGCTGGGCTGTGGCCGAGGAGGTGTGTCCCGAGAAACAGCATGCCTTCCGCTGGGGTGAATCTCTCAGCCACCACCGATCGGAAGAGACGAATCTGAGCGAGAGCGGAGAACCGCTGTCTTGACCACTGAGAGAGAGGAGCCGTAAAGAATCTCAAGGTTTTGCTTTAGCACTGGATGCAAGTAATGACGTACAGGAACGGCACAACTGTTGATCTTTATTCGTGGAGTCAACCACGTTTCTGAGTGTCAGTATGGAGTTGGCATCACGGACAAGCTACAAAGGCCACAACAACTGAGAAACCTTTCTTGCCCGAAGCTGTCCAAAAGTGGGCGAACTGGTCTGAATCGGCTAATTTTGCAGGGTCAATACAGATTGCGCCTAGCCCGTCCCGCCACTAGCGCGCCTTGAACGGCGAGTTCCGACCGACACGATGTCTCGCCCCACCGATCAGAGCGTCCCTGCCTGATCCACCAGCACGCAGTGCTCCGCATGTTCCGCACAGCGCGCGCGCTCCTGTGATGAAGGGTTGGTGCTGACTGTGTCAACCTCACAGCCGGCACACTGCGCCTGAACACCAGCGCGTTCAGGCCTTTCTCTCCGAGCGGGTCTGCTCACCACGGCCTCTGCTTCGCTCGCTATCACAGCGAAATCGTGGCCAAGTCCGAGAAAGTCATTGCCGCCGTGGTCTCACGACCGCTGCACGAATCAACACCTTCTCCAGTCTAAAGGTGACCGTGTACGGAGCTGACGACCCCGACGGTGGAAATGGCGAACCCCCTCCGCGTTCTTTAACTGACTGTATGAACTGAACTGTGAACCACGTCAAACCTACAGCTCCAAGGCAACAGGGAATCCTCATCGGGACATGTATCCCCACATAAACCATAGAGGTCAAACGCGACCTCCTTCGTGCCGACAGGTAGCAAAAGCGGACTTCACACGACTCCCCTGCACGCCCAAAGTACTGGCGCCGAGAAACCAGCCGCACTTCTCCCAGCTGCCCGCAGCGCAAAGATCCCTGGGAGATGCTGCAGCGAGCGTTCAGTGGTGCGCTCGCCGAGCTTCATGCCGTCAACAACAACCAGACATAAGTCTGTTCCAGAACCCCTTTGCGCTCGCTGACATTGACCGCGCACTTCCCTCTCTAGCTCTGAACTCAGCGAGCCGAGAGTGATCCTTCAAAAGACCGCATCTCAAGCTGACTCACCTCCTTGATACTCGCAGCGCCTTGAGTTCTATGCCGAGACTACCAGCAACCGCCGCACTACCCAAACATTAAACAACAGCTCTGAAGACCTGTGTGACCCACGCCCGTCTTCGCGCACCTACCACTCGGCGCGCAGCACGTTTTTCCCGCATGAAGCAAATAAAAAAACACACGAGGAACAGACCTCTCAGATGAACATTTCACTCAACTATTGAGACTGGCACCACTAGGCTACACCCATACATCGACTTCCACCAGCCAGAAAGCAAGACACACAGCTTCACACTGATATGGTAAAGTACTGCGGTTCTGAACTATTCACTCTTTATACTGCGCTCAAACATGAACTCACCATTTTTCGATGAAATATGCCGGTGTAATGTTTTTTAATCGACATTTTAAATGCATAATGCCATCACTGTACTCTGTAAACCACACATCACAAGAAGCAACAGGGCAAGGCATATTTATGTAGCCCTTTAACCCTGAATGTTGTCCATGTCACTCCCTTCTTACTGCCCAGTTTCCAGGCAGCAAGAGGGGGATGCAACTGCTGACCTCAAAGATCACTGCCGCATCCCATCCTACCGCTTCCACCCCCCTGCGCACAGTACCCAATTCAGCCTCACGTACTGGCCATATTGCTGACTCCCATTCTGTTCACTCCTCTAGATTACACCTGCCGAGGGTTACTCGCTCAGTCTCTCCCCCCACTCTCTCTCTCAGCATCGCTCTCCTCGTTGCTTCTCGCTCCTCTCTCTCCTCTCGTCTCTCGTCTCCTCTCTCTCCTCTTTAATGCCTGCCTGCCGCTCTCTCCGAAAGGGATGAGAATTGTGCTAGTAAAAGTGTTTGGGTGCTCATTCGCATTTCACTTGAACAAAAAGAATTCTCACATGAATATACAAACACAGTTGGTAGTGATATTTGTTCACCAGTTTCTGGTCTTGATGATCTCTCATCCACTGTAAATAGGGCCTACATTCATTGTACTCACGTCATGAACTGTCAATGCACCATCCGTTTTCCTACCTTTCTTGACATTGTTGACATGTTGTTAATTAGAGAAAATACAGGATACCTGGGTATTTAAATGGAAAAACATGTGAAGTACCACTTCTTTGCAAATCACTATGTAATTATGATGACTATTTGGCTAGAAATTTCATGGGGCTATAACAGGCGTGGCCTAGTGATACAGCCCACATGATCGATCCCGGCCCCTCATCACAGTCAGGAACGATAATGTGGCCCCCAGAGAAAAAAGTTTGGGGACCCCTGATTTACATGATCAAATATCTATATAACACACTAAAGGAGAGGGAAACCCCCGAAGAATCAGAAAGCCCCTTTAAAGAGGATGGTCCCAGTCAAAGTGCATGTACTTGAGAAATAGTCAGCCCTAAATGAGACGAGTTTTGTAACAGTTTTTTTAACTGTTTTCCCCAAAAATGTTTCTAAAAAGTGTTGCTGTTGTTTAACTCTGCCCCCATTTATTTAAATTCATCAAGACATATCTCAGTTTTGGGATTTTTTTAATTTACCATGGAGTGAACACATTTCTTTTGAAGAATTCAAGGTAACGCAGGCTGAGGAACAGATAGAATGATTATCACATTGTGGGTGAAGTATTCCTTTAACTAGGTATCTTTGTTTTTTGTTAGATACTGTATCTCTCTAAAGAGACAGTTTTGTATGCCCCAGAGGTCAGGGTCACAGCAGTACAGGTCTGGACCAGTAGCAGTCCCTTACTGAGTGTAAAGATCGATTGGTCTCACCCTCTATGGTGACCGGGTCACTGCGGACCAGGATGTTGGCATGGTTGATCGCCTCGCAGTAGTACATCCCGCTGTGCTCTTTGGACAACGCGGACACTCGGTAGTCCGTGTTGTTCCTGTGGGTGGTGATGGTATACAGCGGATGTTCATTGCCAACACGGTACCACTTAAACGTAACCGGCGGAGTTCCATTTACTCCACATATGAGGTAAAGATGATCTCCCTCTGAGATTTCTGGTAGGTGGGGGAGGACGGTCAGAATCGGGTTTGTGAGCGGCACTGGAAAAGGGGGAGGAAAGAGGTGAGGTAAGCCAACAGTGTATATGAGTCATTAAGACATTACAAGAACTAAATCACACTATCATTTGATTTAGGAATAGTATACTTATTAGTTAATTTAGATTAATAGATCAAAACCATTCTCATGTTTGTATGAGAGTTATGAATCTACCGCAAGCAACCGGTTAGCTTAGCTTAGCCACCTGTAAAACATCAACAATTTTACTGTAGAAATCTGTTTCTGTTTAGATTAAACAAACTAGACCTGATGTGTTATTATGTTAGTATAGAGATACTGCTAGGTATATTTTCTTACCGTTGGGCAATGCCAGGCTAGCTTCTTCCCCCGTTTCCCGTCTTAGTGCTAGCAAAGCTAATCGGTTGCTTGTGATAACTTAATATATCAAACAAAAATGAGTGGTATGAATCCATCTATCTCTCGGTCAGAAAGTGACTAGTATGTTTCCCGAAATGTCAAACTATTTCCTCAAATAAAAGGGACATTTTAAGTTAAATCTCTACCTTGGAAGCAGCAGCTTGAATAACTGTTCTATGGCCGATGGGCGAACTTGATGATGTGACACATTAGAACGGACCAGAGCAACTAAAGAGACATTGAGGTGAGATGCTCTGTCAAATGCTGTCGTAAAGGCCAGGAACTCGAGACATAAAACGTTTTAAAAGTGCTCAGAAAATGAAATTTGACCAACTCCATCTGCTGAAAATGGTAATGTAAAGGCTTCACAACAAGGCTCCAGTACTAAATGGATCTTGAGGTTAATTTGTCCATAGTTTTAATGTATATGGCCGATTTGGCAAATGCATTATCATGCGGTAAATACATTACATTACATGTCCCTTGTTAGACGCTTTTATCCAAAGCGACTTACATACTCAATACTGTGGGCAATCCCTACAGGAGCAATTTGGGGTGAAGTGTCTTGACCAGGGACACAACGACATGCTGACTGCAGTGGGATTTGAACCTATGACCCCCTGATCCGAACACCAACACACAACCCACTGCACCACATGCCTCCCATTAAATACATTGATTGATCTGGATTAAGCAACAATAATAAAGCAAATCAATCCATTATACATGTAAAAATGGAGGAACATAATTGTTTTTAATATTTACCTATGACTGTAGCATTGAGTCTTTTGCTGCGTGAGACTTCTTTCTGACCATTCCTTGCTTCACACATGTACTTGTTTATTTCATCTGACTTTCTGATGGTGACTGTGAAGTGGGCTTGTTGAAAGGGCTCTTTGACAGTGGTTGTGTTCAGTTGGTCGTACCCCCACAGCAAAGTGTAGTTTATCGGCAGGCTGCCAATGTCCGACTGACAGAGGATCTTGAAGGACTGTCCTATAACCACCCTGCCGACCACCGAGATCTTGGGAGTTGAGACAGAAACTGAAAAGAACAAAGGGAAAAATAAGACACACTGGCCAATGTCGCCTCTGAAAACTAAACCCTGAACCCTCAGGGGCTTGAGTGTATTAGTCTTCAAAGGCTCAACATTGTAAAAATAGGACTGGGCACAAATGTGCTTTTCCTAGTATGGCGGAGTCATGACAAACCAATGATTGGTTAGTACTTTTCTGGTTGGATGGGCTTTGTAGTTTGGATTGGTTGGGTTTGGGCATAATGAATAAGATTAGTTAGGGCAGTGGTTCTCAAACTTTTTCTGTCAGGCCCCCCCTTTGGAGAAAAAAAAAAAGTCGGGCCCCCCCAACACAAATAGTCAGGCTCAGTGGCGGCGCCAGATATTTATTTTGGGGTGCTGTGGGGTAGCTTGACGTTTAATAGAGGGTGCTCAAAAATTTAGGGTTGGGAAACCCTAAATTTTTGAGCACCCTCTATTAAACGTCAAGCTACCCCACAGCACCCCAAAATAAATATCTGGCGCCGCCACTGAGCCTGACTATTTGTGTTGNTGTGTGTGTGTGTGTGTGTGTGTGTGTGTGTGTGTGTGTGTGTGTGTGTGTGTGTGTGTGTGTGTGTGTGTGTGTGTGTGTGTGTGTGTGTGTGTGTGTGTGTGTGTGTGTGTGTGTGTGTGTGTGTGTGTGTGTGTGTGTGTGTGTGTGTGTGCAAACCCATCTATGTGCACATGTGTGTATCCTCCCCAGGTATGACTTTGCCCCAGCAGGGGTTTGCAGGATGCGTGTGTGTGCAGTAACAAGCAGTTGTTGAGTGGCAGAAAGCCATGACAACTGAGTAGGTCCTGGCTCGATGCTGCGGACTTCTTCTGGAAGCCTTGACCCACTTCCAAGTCTCCTCCTCCCCCCATGCCCACCCAAACATGCTGCATAGGGAAGCAGCTCTGCCCCAATCTGCTGAGCTGCAGTGCAGCTCTGCATGCAGATGCTGAGGAGAGGGTGTGCCTGTCTGTCTAAAAAATACAGTTTCCTGTGTGTGTCTGCATGTGCTGCAAGGTTGTGTGTGTGTCTGTGTGTGTGCAGGCTTACGGTAGTTGCAACACCTTGGGCAAAGTCACAGAGTTGCTACTTCTGCTGATTATATTAATGAGCGCTTCACTACAACTTGACATGTTCCACAGCAAGTATCTGATAAAGAGGAAAATAATGGGCAACGTATCACCGCACAGATTCGGGTCACAGCCCTAGGTTTGTTTATAAGTGATACAAGGACAAAGTGTTCATGTCATTTTAATGTTAAAAGCATTATTTTATTTTAACTTTAAACGTTTCCAAAAATGTGAACCTGTCCTGAGGAATGTATGAACTATGATTTGGGGATTTTTTTTAAACCTAACATGCAAAAAAACATTAGGTTTCC